ATCTTCTGAATTTCATGGTATCTGTTGTGAAATCCCCTTTTTCGTCTATAATTTTATTAATTTGGGACTTCTCCCTTCCTTTGTTTAGTTTATCTAAAGGTTAGTCATTTTTATCATTTCAAAAAACTAACATTATTTCATTGGTTCATAGTATTGTTCTTTTAGTATTCATTTCATTAATTTCTGCTCAATTTTTTTTATTTCTTTCCATCTACTGATTTTGGGTTCGCCTCTAACAATTTTCCTGAGTAAGTTTCTAATCATTTTTTGTATGTTCATCTGATTATGGGGATAATAATAGTACCTAACTCATAGGATTAAATGACTTCATATTTGTAAAGTATTTAAATTCATGCCTGCCACATATATGCTATAGAAGCATTTCTTGTTAACATTATTATGCTTTCATTTAGATTGTACTGAGAGGAGAATGCCTAATTCTTATTAAAGTGAATAGAGCTACCAGTGGTTACTTTGTTAGCCATGCTAAGGAAATTAGGAATGTAGCTCAGTGGTAGAGCAATTATCTGATATATTTAATGCCCTAGGTTCAATACCAGCACTGAAAAAAAAGGCACACGAAACACAGTTTTGAAATTAAGAATCCTGTCATCTGTATCTGCATTCCATCTAGGTTACAGCTGTTTTGTGGCAATATGCCCCAATCAGAAAATATTTTGTGCCATATCTGTAAATGGTAGTCAAAATTATTTGTACATTTCCCCTCTTTAAAGCTAACTTCTTGTCAGTTAATTGTGGTTTAAATTTTTAATATTTAAAGACATGAAAAGACAAGGTTTCATTTCAGCCCAATATTTATAACTTTTTTTAACAACGCTTTAACATAACATGATTTAAAAGAATATGTGGGCCTGGAAGCAAGGGGTGTAGGGGGGAGAGGGTGGAGGTGAGGGGCAGGGGGGAAGAAATGACCCAAACAATGTATGCACATGTGAATAAATGAATAAAAAATAAATAAATAAAAGGATTTGTGGTACAGAATAAAACTTCAAGCACTACAAGATAAAACAGCTTGCAATCCAGCAAGTTGCATGACCTCAAACAAATTAATCTTCATAAATTAGGATATTTAAGGTATCTGTCATAGTTCATTGTAAAGAATAAGTGGAAGAAAGTTTGTGGCCATTTAAAAGTGAATAGTGTCCTGGGCAGCAGATGGTGATAGCGTGAGCTATGATAGTAAAAAGGTGGGAGATTTTGGGTTCTAGGAATATTTTGGAGGATAAGTTAAGTTGGATAAATATTTGGGTGATTTCCAGATTTGAGGCTTGAACAAGTAGGTGGGTGGAGGTACCACTTAACAAGATTGCAAAGAAGTGAAGGAAAAAAGGTAATAAGTTTGAAATATCTGCTAAATTTCAATATGTTTGACATGATTCTGGATACTGATCATTTGTCAGTTATAGTCATTATAAATGTCTTCAGTACTTAACCAGTTACAATTTATTAATGTAGCCATAGTGACCAGTGACATAGCCTTGAATGTCTTCAAGACTGATTACTGTCACCAATATCTTGAAATCTAAAAGGTATTAAAAATATAACTTGAAGATATCTTTAACTCATAAATTTTTACTGATTTTTACTTTTATTATGTTTAAAGTTGAATATCATAAAATTTCCATTTTTAAAAATCAGAAATGTCTAATATTGGTATCCTGATAAGGTTCACGTAAATCTTTACCAACCAAATAATCCTTCTTTACTTTTTAAGATGTTTTCATTGTATGCATGCTATCCATATATACCTCTAGTCCTTTAAGTTACTAAACACAAATACATACAGTTTGTAAAAGTATACATGCATTTAGAATAGGGCAAAATGAAGATAAACTTTTAATACAAATTATTCAATCATATAAAATTAAATTGTATTCCATGCGATTGATATTATAAAACATATCTTAATATAGCCTATTCTTTATTTTATTTTTCATTAATGCATAACTTATACTCTATTAATGTACAAAGGAGTTAAATAACAGAATCAGCTAAAATTTTAAGGATTAGAATCACATGGTATTTATGTTCCACTTCTTCTAGAAGGACACTCCATTGGCCAGTTGTGGAATGTATGAATTTTTTTCAACTTTTATCTGTGGATTTGCTGGGTACAAAATAGTTTCTTACATTTTTACATACTCATGAATCCATCTGACTCAAATGTCTGCCTTTCATTTGGACTTTATTGAGCCATACTTTTCCTAATGGAAAGTCTTAGCTTTTTAGAAGAAATCACTTTATTTGCAAATTTTGTCATAAGACAAGTGTACATTTTATATAGTGCTCTTCTCTATTAGATGTCTCTAGTGTAAATAATAATGAATGACCGTACTAAGGGCAGCTGGTAGGGACTGGAGTGTGTATGTCTGTGTGTGTACACACATATGGATATTTATATACATATTTATATGTGTGACCTAACTGAAATTAGTAACATAGATATATGCTAGTTTAAAACCACAAATGCTATATTTAATTGTTCTTATAGAAATTTATTAGTAGATATACTTGCCAGTATCACAGAAAGATTATATATGAAGTAAAAATTATTTTAAATTTTTTATTTTTATTTTATTTCCTTTATTGTTGTGCTGGGTACATTGTGGCATTACACAGGTTCTTACAATTTATCAAATATATCATACTTGAATTCACTCCCTCTTCCATCCTCCTTTATCTCATCCCCCTCATTCCTAGAATACTCATTTTAAAAACCTTTCAGTTTATTATATTTTCACTTTACTTTTTCTAAAGTAATTATAAATTTAAAATGTGTTTTTAGGCATACTCATTGTATAACTTTTTAGCAACAGGTTAGCTGAAGAAAAATCTGTCAAATTTGGCAATGGTTCAGAAAATATGTGAACCTGTCACTGCAAGCAGTCTCAGAGGGTGAAATGCATTACAGGAGCTAATTAACCTTAGAAAATAATTACACAAATATGCAAATGTTGTTTAGATAATTCCATGTGTTATCAGCTCAGGTAGTCCATCATAAATGCAGACCTTCCAATGCCTAGGTAGTAGAATCTGGCATAATTGATAAGGCTTTGGTTACTGCATCACTTATGTTTAGCATTTAACCAGTAATGATGGGAAGAGTACATCAGGATTAACTTGTACTCTGAATATACAGAATCCATAGGAAAATATCTCATGCATTCTACCACCAGAAAACTCTAATTAATGAATTACTCTTCTTTTCATGCACTTTATACGTTTTCTTATTCTAAAATCATCCAACTTGAATAAAGTTACTCAAAAAAATGTACTTTAATGCAAAATTCATGGAGAAACCTGTAGAGGAGATTTAGTGTGTTTTCATTTCTGCGATTGAAATGCATTAGAAAATCTTTCCTATTGAAATCTGTTTAGTCTGGAAATACACTATTGGTATACACTCTTTGAATTATGATTTATAAATATGTAATGATTATAATGTAGTCTGCAGGTTGGATTAACATTAATTTGCCCTGGTATAGCATTACCTTTTTTATGAAATTGAGATTTTGGCTTGTAACATTAGTAGTATAATATTTCAGGAATCTATTTCAAAAGTACTCTATATTTTATTAATTTCTATGCTTTAACTGTTATAGAAGGTTGCAAATATTTGCCAGAGTTTTTTAAATCCTAAAATGATGGGTTTCTAGTTCTTTTAAACATCATAAATACTGAAAAACCTTAATTTGTTAAAGCCTTGGGAAATAGTCAAGCAAAGTTTTCATAATAATTTGAAAGCCAAATTTTTATAGCAAATGTTTGCTCTCTTTCATTGCCTGTTCTTTAGAGCAATGTTTCGAATAAAACCATTTCTTAACTCTGGGTTACTATTCTCTCAAAAATGGAGTTCCCTTAGCATCCTTAACCTTCTTTAGATGATTTTCAGGATCACTGTTGTTCTGTCAACTCCTGTGCTTTAAATAGGTCTGACCATACCTTGCTCGTTGGCAATGCTAGCAATCTCAGACAATTGCACAGTATGAGCTTTTCTGATTGTTTTGCACTTTTGTTTCTTCAGTTACCATCAAACCTTCAGCTGTCACTTCTTATTTTGATTCCTATTTGTTTCATTCTTTTGAAATGTTTTTTCAACTATTTCATATAGTGAAAATTATACTATATATAAATTAAAATGAGCCATATGTATTACATTTTAAACTCATTGGATAGCTACATGCTATTTCCTTAGATAAACTGTAATTTATTTAAATATTATTCTCATTATTGCATACTTAAGCTTTACCTACATTTTTACTCCTGTAAGTGAGACAGTGTTGAACATCTTTGATCATCAATCTTTTGCCATATTCTAAGTTAGTAGAAACTAAATTTATGAAATGGGACTTAAATACTTTTTAACTAGGACTAGCAAGTTAGGAGAAATATAAAAAACCTTAGGTTTATATAGTTAGGTTTTTCCCAGTTCTAGAAAGATAATATGTATAGGAATGCTTATAGAAATAAAGTATGTATTTTAAGCAATTCAATAGAAAATACCCATTATTCACTTTTCCTTATTTTCAGCTTACAGAGATACTTAAAATCTTATAAATTAAATAATTTAGACATATGTATAATAGGTCTTCAGATTTAAATATAGAATGTGGCTTAATTTTTTTTAGTTTTATATTGTTTTATCCTAAGCCCATTGTAACTTTGACAATGCGAATAAGGTGCTTAGATATATTTTAATATCTCAGGTACCTAGAGTATTTCCCTTAAAATGTGTTTATTTTAAATACTTTGTTTCAGATGATTATAGTAGCAGTTAAACTAAGCAGTAATTTACTAATGGTTTTAATACAATTTATTCCCTAATGTAAATTTTCAATGTAGTTCTTCTGCATTGTTACTATTTTCAGTGCACTCTAACCATCTTATTCTTATGTTGTATATGCAAGCACATAATTCAATTGTTGATTACTGTGATAATCATTGCATACAGTATGTAACATGATGTTTGTTTTTTATAGGAAAATGGTTCTCCTGAAGAACATGCAATCTATGTTTGGGACCATTTCATAGCACAGTCTGCAGCTGAAAATGTTTTTTTTGTTGCTCACAGCTATGGAGGACTTGCTTTTGTTGAACTGGTAAGTGCACATGTAACTCTATTTTTAATTCCCAGTTGCCTTATAGGTTCCTCTATTCCCTTATTCTTGATACCCTTTATTTTATAAAAAATAAAGAATTTTTATTTTTTATAAAATAAACAATGGAAATAAAATATTTTGAGTAAATAATTTTATGAGTTTTGAAGACTATACTAATTTATTTTAGAATAACAGAGCTGTTCAATTCTAAGCAGAGGACCTTTGCCTGTCATTTATATATTATTTTTAAATATTTGTATTAGCGTCCCAGTTTCCATACGTTTCATGTTTACACTTCCTGTTTAATGTGTACACCATTGGCACTTACTTTATCTGTAAAGAATTTAAGATTTTAAAAGACTTGTTTAAATATTTGGGATTATTTTGACAATTTTAATTGACTTTTATCTTTACTATTTAGTACTTGATATTTGATCAGCATTTACATAATAATAAAACTATAAAATAACTTCCATTAATCTGCTTCTAACTAGAGTGCATTGCTTATCTATAAAAATCTTTGCATTTCAAAATAATCTGATTCTTGGAGTTAAAATTATATGTATGTTATAGAAAAAAGTTGCTAAAATTTCTGAGTTTTGTCTATTATATGCAATATTACAAATATCGCAGTCTTTTGTCAGCATGGTTAATGTCATATAATCAATACTAGAAATCCACTAAGGAAGAATTTGTGCCTCCATGTCCATAACTCCTTATGTTATGAGACGATACCATTGCTATCATAAAATGATTAGTTTGATAAAAGGGAACTTGATAATTTTAAACTATTTGATTAAAGTGGACATTAAAAGCAGACACAACATTGATTGTCTAATTTTTATTTTTCTAGACTTTGGTATGTATTTCTGTATGAAATGATAATTAAATTTATTTTCATGGCTTTTCAACTGCCTATACCTTATTACTTACTCACATGATTTAGATATAAAACTAGTGGTGACACCTGACACCTGAGAGTACTTCTGCTGCTCTAAATCTGCAAAGGCTATGTTACAGAAAGAGTAATAAATAGGTCATTTATTTCTTCAATATATTTCAGTTTTTAGAGATTGTTTTCAAGCACTTTTAACTTAGCTAAATTTATGTATTTTGACATATATATATGTTATTTTAAGCTTGCTCCTTAATACGCTAGTGTGATGTTTTTTTTAAACATACAACTAATTCCTGCAACCACTTAGATATAGATAGATATAGATAGATATAGATATAGATATAGATATACAGACATATAGGTTATAGCTTATAGTTAGCTTATTTCTTTCTTTGCAAGCCATGACTTAAAACATGAACTTTTTTCACGTGTAGAGTGACTTAAAATATGACTAAAGGCCTGAAACACTAATCAAATTTTGGATTTCAGAAAAACATAATATTTTTTACTTTAAGAGAGTTTATAGAATTTGGAATTTAAAAGTGTATTTTGAACCATTTCTAAAATGAACTTAAGATGCAAGGGTTGACAGATGATCAGTGCGTCCGTCCTGTTTTGCCTGTCCTTCTTGTCACACACTGGTGGATATTTCTCCACTTTTGTTCCACTTTAATATAAAGCACACAGATGTTTCAGAACAAGACTTGACTTCTGACCTTGAGGCTATTAGGGTCAGGGTCCTCAGGGCCTGTGAAATTATCACAAGCTGAGCTAAAGTTTTTCTCCATCACAGGAAGTAACCAGTAAGTAAGAAGTTAAAAAGGAGCTTTGTCAGAGAGACAAGATGGTCTCAGTAAGGGTCAGCTTCTGTAGTCTGCTATCTCTGCAGGAGGCACATGCATGGGAGGAGGAGTATAATATAACCACTGGCACATCACATATCTGTCAGGCAGCACAGGGCTGAGAAGTCTATTTCATGTAGCATACCTTGTTTAGATTTTAAAATATTAGTGGTGATTATCTCAGCTTTGTATGTTTACTACCTTATGTGAAATAACTGATTGGAGTATGTAATGTAGAGTGTAGACAATGGTGACTGAAGAAAGGGTGGTATGGACCTAATAAAATGGATTCCTCTAAACAAATAAGAGTGTCCACTAATGAGTTAATTCTGAAAAACTTGATTAGTATGTTTAACTTCATTTTGTTTCTATTTCAAAATGCTTTTTTTTTTAAAAAAAAAAGTAACATTGTAAAAGAAAAAACAGAAAAGTTTTTAAACCTTTTACTTTTGCCTAAGTTATATTCTTTCTTATTCTCATTAATATTGTTAGGGGGAAAGTCATGGTGTTTAAAATGTTGACAGATATTCATTCTTTGTGATTTTTCACCATAAGTGTAATCCCCCAGTACAACAATAATGTAATAAAAAAAAGATTTAAAAAGGCAAAAATAAGTGTAATATATGAAATTGTTTTATATACATGCAAGAATTTAGTACTAGCTATACAATAAAGTGAATTGTGAATTTTAATTTATAAATCTTAAGTTATAATATAGTTTTTCTCAGTCGTGCAATTCTCATAATGTAATTAAAACCTTTGGAGTTCAGTAAAGTTTAACCTTTGTAATAGTCCTAAAATTTTAATACTCTACATGCACACCTCTCTCTCTCTCTTTCTCTCTCTCTCTCTCTCTCTCTCTCTCTCTCTCCTCTCTCTCTGACTCTCTCTAATTCTCTATGTCTCATGCACACATGCACGCACACACTCGGGTAAGATTCTTAGTTTGTAACGTGTTTGAATGCATGAAAATGGTTTTTCTACCATTGTCATACAAGTTCACATTCTTCTTTAGGTCATGACTGTC